CCATTTCATTTTTGTCTCGTCAGTTCAAAAACAAACCTGACAGAAAACAAGGCACGTATAACTCCACCTATACGTCTGCCTTGAGAACAGGCATCACTGACAGAAGGGCATGCAGGCCCCTTGGCAGTCCTAGCATCTGGAACCAGTCTCACAGAAATTTCCCAAGGGAGCGAGTGGAAGCCCACAAGTCCCGTCCCATTAAAGCATGTCCAGTTTAAAACCTAGCACGCACCAGATGTTCCAGCTCCTGTGATACTGCTGGGTGCAGTTTGCTCCAGTGCACAGCTGCAGTTACACCTCGCTAAGCACCAGGCCCCCCAAACCCAGTACTGATTCTCACTGCAAGCAGTGGATAACAGTGCTCATAGAAACCAGGCACAGGAATTTAAGAGGAAAGGCAAACTACTCAGCTGTAAACTGGCTGTTCCCTTCCATGCCTGAACATTTCATATACTAACGTGGCCAGTCAACACCCCCTGAGCTTTTCACTGCCCAGATCTTGCCTCCAAGATAAAGGTCTGCTCCAATATGGGAGAAACAGATGGAGAAGCTCAAACTGGGAACTGGGGATCAGGTCCCACATTGTTCCTGAGGAAGTTCTCTAGCTACACAGCGCAGTATCAGCACTTGAACTTCCACTTGTCTAAAAGGCTACAATTCAATTAGTGCAGCAAATCCTTCCCTTCTCTGATAACCTTCCCTAGCCCAGCACCTACATATAGCCACCACAGGAAAGCAAGACCATCCCTAATAAATCTTACCTACTGAAAAGGTGGCTAGCAAACAAAAAAATGTGAAAGAAAGCACCCTCCAAGCTGCACAGGCCACAGAAACTAAAAGCAAAGGGCCCAAAGCACAGCACTTGCCCTCAGCCTCAATTAGCAGCAAAGTGGGGTTTGGGAAAACAATGGCCTCTTCAGAGCTGCTAATAGGGCAAGGATGAAATCGCAGAATTAAAAACAAAATCCTCCCACACACACTGATATTCAGTGGCTATTACGTTTCAGCTTAAAGTCAGCCAATACGCATCGTACTGCAGCAGCTCTTAGAGCAATCTTGTTCACAATTGGAAATGGATTACATTATCACAGCTCCACCAGCCACATAGTGCAGAGCAAACTGTCAAACATGAAATCACAAACGGTTATTTTGTACCCCCCTGAAGGGTGCCCCCCTCAGCGTAAGGATTTGCCCTATTTTATTACTAAATCATTGCTCCCACACAAGTTCCCATCACAGGTATCTATCAGTGCTGACATTCTTACACCAGCGAGGGATTCTCAGGTGCGTGCACTCTTCTTCCCCATCCCAAAGATGCACTGAGCAGATCTGCCCCTCGGGGTTCCTCCTGCATCCCCCACCCAAGAGGCACCAAGCCCCGAGCAGGCAAAACCGTCAGATGCCAGTGGTGAGGAAGAGGAGGAGGAGGCCTTCCTCGTCAGCCTCTCCAAGTTCATGAAGGAGAGGCGCACATCCAATCCCAGACCTCAACTTCAAGCACAGCGCATACCTGGCAGGGGCTTCTAGGACGGAGGATGTTCTGGGGATGGAGGAGCCTTTGGGACAAAGAGCTGGCGTGCACCGCATCTCACTGACTCCTTCCTTCTTTCCAGTTAACCTGTGGAAGATTTACAAAGCATGGAGAAGCTTGGAGCCTACGAGCTGGTAAGCAGGCAGCGTCCCCCATCCCATGGCTCTGTGCTCCAGGTTTGGGGAGGGTTCATCCATCTTCACACCGTCTGCCTCCGCAGGTAACAGGGAGATGGCTGTAGAAGAATGTGTACGATGAGCTGGGCAGCAGCCCCAGCAGCACCAGCGTGGGCAAGTGTGGACCCAGCAGCACTACAAGGGGTGGCAGTGTGGGGGAGAGGCACCGAGTGCCTCAGTTTCCCCCCTTCAAGGGGTTTAGTGGGACTGGGGCTCAGCGCTGTGACTCGCACCCCGCAGGCTGGTCCTCCTGTACATGCAGCACCTGAAGGGCGAGGACGACAAGCCGCTGCCTCCCAGCAAACCCTGAAAGCAGCATAAAGTCTCCAAGGGCACTGAGACGAGCGAGAAGAGCAGCAGGAGATAGAAGGAGAAAGGCTGGGAGCAGGTGAGTGGCCAGGGGTGAACCTTGGGAACCACCCCACACCCTGCTCTGCCTCCCTGTATCCATCCCCACACTGGGCACGTGGCGAGGGAGTTCTGGGAAGGATGAGGTCAAGACCAGAGTGGAGAACTGAGCTTCCGGAGGGGGAGCAGAGGGATGGGGCGGGTACACGACCCAGCCTGGCACCCACACCCCAAACCTGCTTTAGCTTGCAGGTGGCATCAGAGATGGCAAAGCTGGAGGTGGGAGCCACCCTTGAAGGAGGACCCAACAGAGGCCCACAAGCAAGGCTGGCCACGGGAGCAATGTGCCAGCCCCACGGCCCTGGCACAACCCCTCTGGGGGGTGTCCCAGCACTCGCTGCGCCCACAATGAAGCCTACAAGGGCCTCTTTTCCAGCTTTTACTCCAAAGGCAACCACCCCGTCATGTCTCTGCTGGCCAAGAAGAAGCTGCTGGCCCAGGTGAGCGAGGCAGAGTGCACACACTGCCACTAACACCACTGCACTGCCACTAACACCACTGCACTGCCACTAACACCACTGCCTGGAGGGCAATGGGGCAGCGAGCAGCACTCACCCCAACCCAGAGCCCAGCCAGCTGGCAGCCAACCCCCACTTCAAGGAGCAGAGGAGCCCGGAGACACAAGGATTGAAGGACGCATTCAGGGAAGGCTGGAGTGAGGCAGGACCCATCCGCAATGCATCCCCTGGCAGGACAGACAGACAGCCTTACCCAAGAGCTGAGGATGGGGGCCCTGCACCCACTGTGTTCACTGCCTTCTGTCATGCATACTGCAATCAGCTGCCACCCCTTTGGGGGATGCTTCTCTAACTTGAAGGATTTCTTGGAACCACAACCCGAGAACACAGAGGACGACTGGGAGAAGCCCAAGACCTGTGAACCAAAGCGTGGAGCAGAGAGAGCCTGCAGCCAGCCACCTCTGCTGCTGTCAAAGCCTGCTGGGTGCCCCCTGGGGCCGGCTTCGGCCCACTGACACAGAGCCACCAAGGACTGGCCAAACCCAAAGCCATCATTCCCAGACCCAGCTGTGCCATTCCACTCACCCCACTGCCTCAGCCCCAAACGTTCACAAGGGTGAGATGCTGCGCTTCCTGATGAACTTCAGCAACCCTCCAGAGCACCGAAAAAACCAGGCACCCCACCAAAGCCATCTCTCTCCATTATCCCCTTCGTCATCCCTGCTTTCCCCAGCCCTGCGATAGCCAGCTTGCACAGCCCTCCAACCCCAGGCACCACCAACATCCCACAAGGGCTCACTGCAGCACCAGCTCTACCCCACAGCGACGTGGCACAGCCAGCACACCTACAGCACTCCACACACCTCCGCTTCCCACTGCAGCACCAAGCTGCTGCCTTGCTCTGGATCAGCCCTGGCCCCACAGAGAGGCAGGCAGCGGGATGCTGCAGCACTGGGATGCTGTCAGAGCTGCTGTGTCCCATGGCCAAAATGAGCTGGACCGTGTCATTTCTGAAAAAAGATAAAGGAGCAGAATGAGTTGCAGAGGTTTTCTTGCTAGAGATGCTGTGCCCCCGTGCAGTTTTGTGGAGCCAACGCAGACACGCAGTGGATCTTCCCATCTTGCCATGCTGTGCCCAGGTGCTGGAGAGTAGCATCCTAAACAAACCTCACTGGATGGTCCCAGCTTCACCTTAGCAGGTGTGTTTCCTGAGAGTTTCCTGCACAAACTGAGACTTACCTCTGCTTTTCTTTTCTGCATTGTTTTTGGCGTCTTTATTCCAGCCCCAGGGTTCACAGCTGTTTCCTGGAGCATCCATGTGTCCCAATGTGGGTGCCACAGGCTGAAATCAACGTGCAGCGATGGCACGGAGAGGCCTCCTTGCTCTGGAACCCACCACAGACAGACAGACAGCACCTGGGATGTGATCTGTGGAGAGAAGAGGAGCACTCTTGGTGGAAGCCAGATGACCCAGGACCACTCCTGAGGAATCTGCAAACCAGCACAGAACTGCAGAGCACATCTCCAGCTGCTTTTTGCCTCTGCAAGCTCCCACTGAGCCACTGCAAATGACCCAAAATCTTTGCTGCAGCCTCAGGACTTACTTCTCTTGTGCCAGCTCCTCTCCACAACTGTGGGGTGTCCTGGGCACCCCGCTATGAGCTGTAAAATGGGAGGAGCAAAGAGATGCTCATCCCTAAAGGGGCACTTGCTCATCCACAAAAAGGGAAAAGAAACACAGCAGGGGTAAATCAGCTCTGAAGGAACACTTCTGCTGTTTCTGTGGAAAGGAAAGGACTTGGGACAGAAAGTAGAAAAAAAGACTTATCCCCAGGCAGCACCGGTCACTCCATGCTGCTCTAAGGGTTAGACTAGGTGAGAAAAGTTCTCACTGCTGCTGAAATAGGTCAGAGCAGCTTCATAAAGCATCACAGATCCAGCCAGTTCTGCATCCTCCAGTGTGCACCGCAGAAAGGCATTACACGTGTGGCAGTGTCCAGGCACGTTTTGCCCCAAGAGCCCTGACACAAAAGGCATAAAGGTGACTCCAGCACATGAGCGAGGACGTGGGCACAGGGCTCAAGTCGTTCCTCAGAGACTGTGAGCAAGGGCGTGAGAGCAAAATGAGAGACGCAGTGATCCTCAGGGTATCTCAGCCTCGCAGAGAAATTGTGACTACAGCCTGTGAGATACAGCTGGGCTGCTTAAGAACACTGAGCATCCACAGCTGACCCACACCTCGATGAGTCGTGTCCACAGCTGATGTCCACAGCTCCCTCAGATGCTAGAGTAAAGCTCAGGCTCACCCAGGCTGTGTCTTTCCCTGAACTGCTCCCTTTTGCAGTGAGAGCTGGCAGAGCTGGGCCCATGGCCACCTCTTACCTCTGAGCTGGTTGCAGGGTCCCTCAGTCAAGTGCAGGGCACGAAGGAAGCTGAGACCCAGTTGGTTCCTTGCTGCTCACTGCCACCAGAAAGGTCCACGCACTGCTTGGGAAGCACAATGCCTCCTGGGGAAAAGAGAAAGCAGGAACAGGCCATGCAGGGGGCTATCACCAGCAGAAGGCCAGATCCTTCCGCCTGATGTCTACTCCTCTTTCCAGTCCTGATGTGGCCCAGAGGATGCACAAGTATCGGTGCTTAGCAGCAGGACTCAGGGAAGGATCTGTAGAATCGGAGCTGATTCAGCTCTCCAGCCTGGCAAAGGAGCAGAGCCGTAGGGCTGCCATGAGCTGCAGGACTGACTGCCCTGCTGTCATTTGGGTGGTGAAGCTGAAACCAGGTGGCTGGCAAAGTCCCATCTTGCTGACTTATAATAAGTAAGTATCCATATATATATGGATATATATATATATATATATATTATATAATAAGGTAAGTATCCATAGAACACCAGATGAGAGAGACAGGCTCTGGGCTGAGAAGGGCTTGGGATGGTCCAGGAAAAGGGCGCAGCTTACAACTGTTGCTCAGCATCTCCACAGGACCACTACTCACCATCAGGATGCTGTGAAGTCCAGAGCACAAGGCAGCGGTGAGACAGGGAGGTCACAGCGAATCCCCAACAGCTGGGCAACACCTGCAGGTGGCACATGGACAGTGCGGGAAGGGAGGTGCAGTGGAATTGCCAGGTCACAGCCTGAACCACTGCGTGAGCACACGAGTACCTCGAGCGGGGAGCCTTCCTCTCTCTCCATCTCAGCAGTGCTCCCAGCAGCACACACGCAGTCAGTCTGCACAGGTCTCCCCCCCCAGCCCTCAACCCCCTTTCACCTTTCAGCACACCGCAGTTCAAACGCAGAAGGCTGCATTCCTCAGCTCACCGCTTTCTGCCAAACTGTTGCTGGGAGGGATGAGTCGATTCCTCTTGCTTTGATATCCTGTTCTATAGCTCCTCTATCTCAAATAAAGGCTCTGTCATCGCCTTGTTTGCTTTACAGGTGGGAAGGGGCAGAGGACGTCTGTAACAACCAGAATGATCAGTGCAGTGGAAGGAGGTGTAACCACAAAGGGACTGGCACAACAGAAGGGTGTTACAAAGACAAAGTGCTCACCTGTCCCTGAAGATCCAGGCTCACAGGGAAAACTCCACAAGGGAGGGATCTCCAACCACATATCCTCGCCCACTGCACAGTCAGCCCTTCAGTGAGGTCTAGGAGAGGTGCAGCCAGGCTCCCCTCATTCCATCATACAACTGAACTGCCCTCACCTGTGCTCCCAGGGCTGACTGGGTCCTTTCCCCAGATGCTCCATCAGTGGTTCAGGCCCTGACTGAACACTCACCAGACAGCATTTCTCAACAAATAACAGCCAAAGGGGGAAAGGGTTATTCCCCTGCTGTTTCCCAGGCTGCCCATAACAATCACATTCTGCTGTGCTGGTTGGCACAGCTGACAACAGGATCTTCTCACGAGCCAGCAGAACGAGGAAGTGAGCAGAGCTTTTGGAAATGTGCCTGCTGTCAGGGTGGGAGTTTGGGCCTGCCCCAGCACCATGCATTTCCACCACACGACACGGGAGGTGGCAAATGTGTCGGAGCCAGTGGGAGAGCTGGTGGAGCAGGAGGAAGCTTGGATGCCTGGCAGGTGGAGGGGACATGAGGTAGCCTCATCCATCACAGCCATGGGCAGCGCAGACAGACGGCCATCGGACGTGACGTACAGGGTCTTCATGGGGCTGGCCGTGGTCATTGCGGAGAAGGGAAGAGCGTGGTCAGCAGTCATGGAGGCAGAGCAGACTTGCAGGGTTTCAGGCTGCGCAAAATAACCTTTGTCTCATTGTGTCTTCAGAGTGACTCAAAAACCAACCCCAGCACTGTCACAGCCTGGGCAGAGCATGGCAAAGGAACCCTAAACCTGTCGGTTCCCTTCCTACACCCCTCAGATCACTCACAGAATCCCCTCTCCCTTCAGCAATCCCACCCTCTCCCCAGGGGCAAGGACCACAGGGCTCTTCCTTGGTCAAGAACTCCCCATCCACCTCTCAAAGCTCTCGCACAGCTAAGGCATCTTTAGCTCTCTCATACCAGCAGGTGGAGTCCATGCCCCCACTTGCCACAGCTTCGCAAGCTCTCACCTGCTTTTGCACTGCACACAACAAATTGCAACAGTGTCGCATGCCCCTACCTGCTTTTGTTTTGCAACATGCCAATAGCCTGCCTCTGCACTGCCCATGCCAGCCTGCCTCTGTGCCACACGCCCCACACACACGCCCCTTTTGCTGACCACTGCAGAAGGTGATAATGCTTGTGCATGGCAATGAAGGTACCACTCCCTGCTGGATTGTCTGGTGGGCCAGGTATGCCGTGCTAACAGAGAGAAAAGAAGAAAAACAACTGAGAGATGGAGAAAGAAGGCCCTCACTAAACTAAGGATTTGGGGACTCTCTAACACACCTGTTTTCTCAGCTCAGTTCACAGTTACTTCAAATGCACACAGCACCTGCAAAGAATCACGCTCCAACAAGGAAGGAAAACAAATCCAGGACGCAGTGAAGGGCTCCCAGCTCTCAGTGGTTGATGCCTGCTCCGTGTACAGAGCATGCAGATAAATACAGGGCAAAAATAAACAACAGCAGAAGAAAAGAAGAAGAAGAAGAAGAAGAAGAAGAAGAAGAAGAAGAAGAAGAA